TAGCTTCGCATGACGTGTTTGGAAAACAATGAAGGGTGGTGAAAAAGTCCAATGAAGTCGCAAATATAAAGAAACCCACCAGCCATGGACCACAGTGAAGCCTTGAGACCTCAGAACACTTTCGGTCTCATGATTCGCATGCAAAAACAACGAACCTTCGAGCCAAGATGTCTTTGACCAAATGCATAAAATGAAAACGCAAGGGGTTGCCAGGTTCGGACGTGATGAATATGCATGGTATGTTTGGTAGTTTGATTTGAGATTTCTTAGAATGATGAATGTTGTCGGGAAGAAGTGAGGGATTGTGCAGAGATTATGTAAGGAACAGAGAAATCATGGAAGCTTGAGTCATTTAGGTTGTCATTTAATTCGAGGTGTTGGGTGGTCATGGTGGATCAAAACAAATGAACATGGCTGGTGCACTCAAAGCCATGAATGTGATGGAAGGAGGTCAATGTTGTTAGGCAACTTGCAAGCGTTCTTGTGTGTGAAAGAAAGTCCCCTGAGACTGTGCTTGAGTGCTGGTTATCAAGAACCCTCCCGTTGGCCTTTAAGAGAATGACATGAAAAAGAAGTTCCCCAAAAACACTCTTGCTCCACCCTGCCTGAGCTTGCTTTTTTCAATCAAAAGCTGAAATAGCCATTTTTGTTTTTCTTGCAGCTGCACGCGTTTCCTATGCAATAAATGCGTATCTATCACTTTACGTGTTGCGGATGAAAATCGGAAATCTTCTGCACATATCTCTTTTTGAATGATTATTGTTCATAAAATTCAAATTTAAACTCATTTTATTTTAATATTTTATTTGTATTAGTTATAACCTTTTTTGTATATACCTTTTTTGCTATTATTTTAAGAACAAAATTAATATTTTCTGGACGAAATTAGGTAACTACAGCATTAAAATCCAGCCCACTTCATTTAACTTAACCAAGCATCCAACGAGAATTTTAACAACCAATACAATGTACTTGAAACCCCATTTCGGGATGCAAAATATGTGAAAGAATAGGTAAGCTTCTTTTACCTCTCTCAAGTTTAAACAACCAAGAAACATAGAAGACCAAAGACTTCGTATAGACACTCTCTACTCAAAAACCCTCAGCCACTCAACTAGGCACATAACTATCAAACAAACAAGACAACCAACTTCAAGAATGCCCAAGAATTCCAAGAGCTAGGGCTAACTTCATGAGCAAGGGAAAAGGGGAGAGGAGGGTTCACGCAAGACAAGGAAATTCTCTTACTAAAACTCTTTCTCTCTTTTGTCCCCTCTTTAGAAAATAAGTTATGAGCTCTTAGGATGAGAACTCCCTTCTGAATCCTTAAAACAACTCAGCCAACCTCCTCACCTCTCTTAAACCATTCTATAAGACTCAACTCATACTAGGTAATCAAAAAAAAAATAAAAATCACTTAAAACAACTCAACAACAACAACAAACTAATTAACACAATAAAATAAATCCAATTGAAATCAAATAACAACAACTAATTAAATTGAAACACACAACAATACATAATTTAATTAACAAATGATCAATAAATTAAATTTAACTTAAAAAAATTCAAATTAAACACGAAAGTCACAAATAGTATAAATAAAGTTTACTTATAAAATTTTAATTATTTTCATTTTATTATAGGAAACATTAATTTGTTTAACTATAACCTCTCAATATAATTAAGCAACGTTTGATATCACAACAAGAAATTGTAGTGGTAGACGAAAATTATCTATGAAAACTGCAAATTTGTGGGTAAATATGTATTTTATAATTACTCAAAAATCCCGTCCATTCCTATGAGTTTTTGAGATTTTATTTACAATAAACACTTATAAATATATTAAATATTTATAGACATTATTATTATTTTTTAAATTTTCTCCACTGTCATTATATATTTATAAAATTAAAACACCGTAAATATAAATAGATTATTTTCCTTATAGTGTGATTAGGCTACAATAAATATAATAGATTGATATTTAAGTCTTAATTATAAAGAATTTCTCAATAATAGATTGATATTTAAGTCAAAATTATAAAACAATTTCTCAATTACTGGTGACTATAGTTAATTATTTAAGTACACACAATAAAATTAAATAGAAAAACATTTAACTCAAACAATTGCACTGTTATTTACACTATCTTTTCTTGAAATCTTCTTTGAAAAAACAAAGTTCATCACCATAAGGATCTCATATCTCATCATACCCATTAACCCGACCCTAAATGTTAATATAATACTGTATACTATTTGAGTGTTAGCTTAAAACCTTTAAGTTGATACAAAGTTTAATTTTCATTCGATAAAGATTATATTAAGCAAGGCAATCTAACACTTGATAATTTTATTAAAAGTGAATTAGACCGTGACTTTGACTAGTCCTCTTCTTTATATTCGTGTCATGACTTTTTTAAGTGGTCAACTAATTAACTTTTAATTTTGATTTTTTTATTTATAGTTGTGTCATAATTTTATATGACCTATATATTTTTTTTTCTTAGTTTTTTATAGTTATATTGACAAAACTTTAGACATTACAAAATCTCTTGTAATTACTAGTTCGCACATCATGTGCTTTGAAGCAAATGCCTTGTCTTCAAACGAAAAATTCTTTGCTTTTAAAAACAAAATCCATGTATAGTTTGTATGTTACTTATTTATAGTTTCTATTCCATATAATATGAAAAATGCCCATAAATTTTTAAGTGAACATTTGAGCGCTAACTGTAACTTTATTAAACATATATTAAATAACATGCATGATGATATACATTATTCAAATTTACTGTTTTCATTTATCGTAATAAAAAGAGTTCTCCCTTGATAAGTTCCATAATGTATATGATATATATGATTCAAATTTATAGTTTTTCATTTCTAATAATACAAAGAGTTATCACTTTGATAAGTCCCATAATGTATGATGGTATATATGATTCAGATTTCTAGTGTTCATTTTTCGTAACAAAGGAGTTTTTTACTTGATAAATTCCATAATATATGATATTATATTGGAAGTTATAACCATATCTTTTTAAATTAACATATTTTGCTACAGTTAATTTTTAAAAAATAAAAGTGACGTAAAGTGTTTTTTTTTTCTTTCACTTTACTTTTTTTTTTGCCATATACACCAAGTAATGTATTATTGATAAATAGATAATTTAAGTAATTAATTTACTCTTTTTTCTCACTAAATAGTAGTCCAAGTATTTTAAATTATTTTGTAAAAATCAAAATAACTTAAAAAAAACATAATTAAATTTTATTTGCTGAAATAGAGAAAAATTGTATGAATTTTTTATTTAATTTATTTCTCAAAATTTACATACAAGAAAAATCTCAATTTATTATGACTAATAATATATAAAAACATCCTTTTCAAATCCAAATGTTTCATGAAAT